CCGCGCGCGGGCGAAGGCGCAACGGCGGCAGCACACACACACACACACACACACACACTCACTCACTCACTCACTCACTCACTCACTCACTCACTCACTCACTCACAATCAATCAATCAATCAAACCCCTTTTTTGTTTATTTATTTTGAAATTCTGCATCTGCATTTTTTTATAACACGTCATACCCCTATAAAACACAAAAATTCATTTCTAAAAAAAACACAGGTCAACTCAGGGACCATATATCTCATGATAAAAAATGACCAAAAAAAATTCCTACTTTTCTTTATGTATATATATATATATATATATTCTTTAAATCCAATTTAGTTTTTGATTTTTTTTAAATCCTAAACAAAGTCGGATTCCAAACAAAAAAATGGGGTTGTAGGGTTTAAATTTTCCTATTACCCCATATTTTATTTTTATTTTTTTACCTATTATTTAATTCAGGAAAATTCTGGTAAAATCTGGTCCGTGGTCGCCATCCGAGATCGGCCCCGCGGACGCGGACGCGGTTGTTTCATAGCGAAATTGCCTATAGTTGTACTTACCTGACTTTGCTTCGGCCACCAGGGCAGGTCCAAGTGTCACCGGATGGGCTCAGGCAACGCGCGGGTTGCACGTTCAATCTGGGAACCTACACAGCAATCGATCGACTTCACGGGACAAAGCCTCGACCGACGTCCAATGCTTTTGACCAATTGATGTTAATTGGTCAAACGCCTTATCGGTCGTCGTTTTATCGAGAACACGGTCCTTGATCTTTGCCAATAACTGTTTCAGTGTTAGGGTCTTCGCCCATTCGCCGATGTCTTCGAACCTCGCGGCATTGGCCTCTGCCAACACTCATTGTTTGACCTCACCACCCATGCAAGAAGTAGTGAACGCAACTTGGGACTTCGGCTCGACCGGGGCGGTGCTCACATACGTTTGGATTTCAGCAATCCAAAGCAATTGGCTCTCATCTTTCTTGTTACTAAATGTAAAAGGCAATTTCATTTTCATTTTCATTTTCTTTTTCTTCTTTGGCTTCTCCGGTTCTGCACTTGTCTTACCCGGAGTTGTTGAAGGAGGAGATTTGAGAGAAAGAGATGAATGAGAAGAGTGAGATGGAGAGGATGGTGGACTTAGTGGTCCATTCCCATTGGTCGTTGTCTGAATTGTTGGTCCAGCAAACTTCATAGCATCTCCCATCAATTGTCTCACTTCTTTCTTGTCTTCTTTTTCTTCTTGTTTTTCCTCACCCTCTATCTGGTTCTTTTCTTTCACAATATTTGCAATGGTTCGTAATCCTACAGCAATCTCACCTAACTGAGTTTGCTGCCTGTCGATTTTCTCTTTTAGAAAGGTAAGGTATGTCACAATATGAGATAATGTATGTGACATGTCAGTTTGTTCTCCAACTTCTGTTCCAATTACTTGTCTAATTTTTTTAACTCTTTGTCCTCTTCTTTGTTCTCGTTCTCTTCTTCTTCCGCAGCCAATGTTTCTTTTAACTGTTGGATATTTGCATCAATTGTAGCCTCAGTTACTTCTGGCTTAGTCTCGTCTTTACGAGTCGCTTCCCAATGTAACCGGGTGAACGCGCTAAACGCGCGTTCACGTTCAAATGTGCGCGTTCATACCTCCCGCGGCCGCGTTCAATCGCGTTCAAACGCGCTGCGCGCCATGTAGCACGAAAAATTGAACGCGACCCCGGGGGTTGCGCGCGCGCGTTGCGGACTACGGGGTGTGTGGGCCTCGTTCTACAAACCCCGAAAGTGCAAAAAAAAAAAAAAACCTGAGGCCT